TGTTCAGCAAGTGCATCTACATGAGCACATTTACTGCGCAGTAACCAAAATTACTCTGCAGTATGGGCACGCATCTACACATGTACACCCATACTACACAGTAAATATGGTGACTTACATTGACTTGAGTGTAAATTTGATACCTGCTTCATGGAGGTATCAAATTTACTCCCGATTAGTTACTCCACAGTAATGCACGTGTAGACACCTTACTGTGCAGCAACACTGTGTGTGTGGACTAACTTTAGTTCCAAGTCAGGCCACACACAGTGTTAATATGCTTTAATGCCTGTACGTGTAGACGCTGGCCTATTCCCGCTTACTGTGAACTACATTTATATGCATGGGTAGACATGCCCAGCATGAATAAGAATGTTGGAATCTAGGTCTTAGTATGATGCTAATACAAATATATGGATTGATTGGGAATGGAAAGCATAGCCTTTTAGCATTTGTGTAGATCCTATTAGTTTTCTTCTCTCAGCCATTCTAAACAACTGCAAATGCTGGAATTAGCTGACATTTCTGTTTTTATAGAGAGAGAACTCAAAATAAACCTTTTCTCCAGTTGCCAGTCAGTTTGATATATGTCTCTTTACAACTACCAGCACCTTCATTTGAAACTTTATTGCATCAGTGGTCAGGTACTAGTTTGTTTCTTTGGACTCTACACTGGAAACAATTAAACCATGGATAAACAAATCTTACATAGACTATAATAGAGGAGATTAATGACTGATGATTAAGAAAATTGTTGTCAGCTGTCATCCACTGGAGTTATAAAGTAACATAGATAGGAGGGAAAACTCTTAATTTCACACAAAACATTCAAAGTGATGGACAGTCCCCAGTGTATTAAGAACTATACACTTTTGCATTTGATAGCAAACTAGATACCTTAAAATACAAATGTGAAATCATAGGCAGTACAAAACACATAAGGCAAAAGACTAGAAAACAATATGTAATTGAGCGTTTTGGGAACTTGCGGTTAATAGGCATCCCTTCCAATTGCACAGGCCTAAAAAAAAAATAAAACATTCAATCCAGAGAATGAAAGTTGAGCACAGTGGTGCAAAATTTGTGCATCTCTTTTACCTATTTAAAAAATTGTATGGAGAGAGATGTTTTCTTGACTCCAAAGGGGGAAATATTTATTCTCTATTTAGTAATGATTTGAGGGAGCGTGAAGTCAGATTAGAAAAACAGATTGTTCAAAGCTGTGTGTGGAGTCTTTGGAATATTTATCAAAATATTATTTTTTGGGAAAAAATAGTTCAATGACAAATGCATAGAAAAGTTAAGATACTTGGAAAAATGCAAACTGACCATTTATAAATACCATCCCTAATTCAAAAGATGTTGTATACTGGGGAAGATAAAAAGCATAGACACTTTCCTTTTTTAAAGATATGGATTACAAAATATATTTTAAAAAACATGCTAGCTAATTTTGAGAACTCTTTTAGATATTTTACCAAGCAGCAGCATTTTTATACAATGGAGAATAACATCGTGCTGTCTTTGGAAATATTCTACATTTAGAAAACGGTGTATTCCTACAAGAAGAATGGAAGTGATACTTATTTACATGGATACAAATAAAGCAAGTGCAAAAAACCATGGCTCTTCTACATTCTTTCTACCAATAAAAACACATACAATAGACACTTTCATTCCTTTTCTATTGTTCAGGTCTTACATTTTGCTCATTCTCATGGAGAAAAACAAAAACAGGACTTTATATTTCATTGCAAATACCTTCATGAGCAATTACTCCCCTGGCAAACTTTACTTCCAACATTCATATCTGACAAAAAAAAAATCTTCCCGGTATCTGTGCACTCTTATTACACTCTCAGCCCGTTTACATATCAAGAATTATGATTTTATTTTATGCATTCATATATTTAATGCAACAATTTATAGAAGCTCATCCTGTAATTTGCAGCCAAAGCTCTAACGGAAAAAATGGAAATAATAATAAAAAAGATAGAGATGAACTTTGAGTTACAATGAACCCCATGTACTTAGCATGGTATAACATTGATGGAAAATGCATTAGAGCTGTTCACCCTTCAGACAATATATTTGGAAGGCCTTTGGTACAATGGCAGGAAGGCACTGCGGTGAAACATTCAGATAACTGAGGAAAGACAGAATTTCCTCATGTGCAAATATGGCTATCTTCCAGATAAAGTGAGAACAAATTACTCACTAAAAGCTATTAACTCTTCCAAGGTGAACCTAATGTTTCTACAGAGAGAGAGAGAGAGAGAGAGAGAGAGAGAGAGCGCGAGCAATTCTTATTTATGTAACACTATTAATACTGGAAAAACACTGCTCAGCAAAAACAGGAAATAATTTAGTACTGTATATTTTGAAGCTCTTCAGCATAACTATATTATTTTAACATATCTGTTGTTTTGGGTTTTTTTATTAAAAGAAAGAGATGAAAATGCATAACTCTGTCTTAGGATCCTCCCTTCCTCCAGAAATAAATATGAAGTTGGCTAAGACTATGTTATCTAATGGCTGCATGTAAAATGATGACAAGCAGATACAGTAGCACAGCCTGCTTCATGTAGCTGTAAATAAAACCACTAAAATGTAGTCTATATTATATACATCTATGGGGGCTCAATCCTGAGGTTGGCCTCATGCAGGTACACAGCATTACCTGAATGGAGCCACAGACAGGATCATGACCCAAGTCTGTAATTGGTTGGTGCATGTATCTGCACACACACCAACACACATACAGGTGAATTACCATATTTTATGTTTTAAACATAAGGAAGAAATGCAACCAGCTTAATATAATTTGCAGCACATGGAAATTACTGTCCCACCCTACACAGCCCCGTTCTTGAAGGGCAATATAAGAACAGTGGACTTTTAAGTCTTCCACAGAAACAGAAGAGAGAGCATGGTTCAGGGTGGATCCCACAGTCTGACTTCAGTGGAGCACTACACCAGCTGTATGAGTCACAACATAGGATCAAAGCCCTTGGTTTCTCTGTTTATACTTTTCTTTCTGGTTTCTGCAGCCATGCCTCACAGCAAGAAGAGCATAACCATTAAGAAGGGGGCAACAAAGCAGGATGCTCAAAACAGTAATCGGAGGGCCATACCAGGATCGTTAAGCACACACAATGGAAAGGTACTACTATTACTGCACATTCCAGTATGGTAATTGTATGCCCAACCCAGCAAGGTTTCTAGCAGATTTGCATGTGCAACTCAGGCAGGCATTTCTAAACAGAACGCTATCCCTTTTTGTTCCTTTCTTTCTTTCTTTTTTAAATTTTAGATTGCCACCTAATAAATTACAGTGTGGTCAAACATGCCATCTCACCACTTAATTGTGAAAATAAGTCTCCCTAGTTCTTTGTGCTGCTTATTAAATATCCCACAAGAAAAAGGAAAATATTTACATGGGGAGATGATCTGCCAAATAACTTATTTTTTGATGGGGATTTTTGATGGGGGTAGTTCTTTGCATAAAACAGGGGAAACACCTTTAGACTGCACGTTTGTTCATTTAATGCCAAATTAGATAAAACAGCTCCTGAAGGTGAACTTTTTGTCTCCTCGAGAATCCAAACAGTTGACAAGAGAAGGATGTTTTGTCTGGAACTTCAGGCTGCATTAAAAAGAACCAGAGTTCCTGAATATTTTATGGTAAGGAATATTCTTTAAGCTATAAATTCAAATAGATATTCTGGGGGAAATGAATGTGTTCCAATACTAGACCACTAGAGGTGGTGTTTAATATGCAATGCTTTTACTTTATATATAGGTCATTTTAATGAATCAGACTCAAAGCCCCAGGCTTGTTCCTATGGAAGCCAATGGCAAAAAAAGCAGCCTATTAACCTCACTGGGTAAAAGATACTTCTTTGGTATCATTTACTTAGGGATCATGTATAGCTGGCAACATGAACAGCAGGAAGAAAGAGTATGGTGTAATAATATTTAGTTTTTAGTGTTGCTAAAATGACATATTAGGGAATGATTTTCTGAAAAGATCTGAATCATACAAAGCAGAATATTACTGTCTAATGGAAGCAATGTCTCTGTTATGCTAGCATTGTCTAAAATATACAAGCAGCATATGTTAGACCCCCTTGTGAAGGAAGCAAAGAAAAGCAAACTTCACAATCAGTCCAGCTGTCTAAGTGCCAGTTTTGGGTTAAGAATAGAGAGAGACACTCAAGCCACAAAATTCTGCTCCAAATACAGACCTGGGTTTTGAATGCCCTGAGAATGGTTAAAGCCTGGGTTTTTAGTTGGCCCACTTGCAGAATTCAGATTTCAAATACTCCTAACATCCAGGGTTGTTTAAGAGCCAAGGCACTAAGTGAGGCCATTTTTTGGACAAGACATCCTGAACAGTACAGCCTCCCCCTCTCTCTCCAAACATAAGCCCTTGCATAGCTTAGGTGGCAAACTTGAGTTGTAAAGATACAGATACATTTTTACTGTAATTATGAAGCATGCTTGAGCCAAACTCAGCTTTTCCTCCAGGGAGCTTATGCTGTTTTCTTTCTTGCACCATCGGGAGAACATTCCACATTAAGTTTAGTTGATCTAATTTGTTCATAATAAATTAATTCATGCTGTGGAGATGTAGACACAGAGGTGTTCAGCTGTCTTTATTTTGAGACCATGGTGTCTTTCACTCCGGGTTGGGGGGACAGGGGTGTGGAGCGA